GGTGGAGGAGTCCCGGGGAATGCACATCTGCGAGGATGCAGTGAAGCGGCTGAAGACGGTACGTTGCTCTAGAAAACCCCTCCGTACTTCTAGGAACGAGGCTGCTACCAGACATGCCTCCTTTTTTTTTTTTTCTTCTCCTCCATTAGACTCCTTCACACTACATCCTACTGACTCCTTCTAACATTTCCTCTACTTCAAGGCAGCTGTTTATCCCTGCTTTAGTTTACTCTGTTGCGCAGTGTGACTTGTTGCAGAACAACGATGTGGATAAAGACACAGAGAAGCATCTGATATATCTCGTGGCATTTATTTTCTGTCTGAGGACAATGTCCTTTTTAATCTCACGTTGCACGTCACACATTACCTCACCTTACCATAATCAGAATTCCTTTGTTAGTGCCACAGCAGGACATTTCGCAGCGCTACAGCAAAAGTGGCAAAGCAACTAGGGCTGCACGATTTGGGGAAATAATGAAATTGCGATTTTTTTTTTTCCCCCAGATATTGCGATTCGATTTGCGATATTTGTTTTTAAGCGACCCAACGGACGTTTATTGTAAAATGCGGCCATATCTCCGGCTAAGAAGGTCGTATCAACGTGCTCCCGTCTCTAGCACCCCCGCAGCTCGAGCTACGAGTGAAAGAACTAAACTTACATGAAACTTCCGTTGCTTTAAAGTCAAGCTTTAGTTTAAGATGCTCCCTGTAATAGAAACATGTGATGGAGCATTACTAACCTGACTCAGATGGTTCACCAAACCATCTAAAGCTCCATTGGAAGCCATTTGGAAAAGTATTTCAAAAAGACTTAGCAGGTGATTGGATCAATCTGTCTATCACCTTCTATCATGGGCCACTTCTGATTGGTTAACAATAGCTGGGACATGTGGAGCTCAGCACTTCTGATTGGTCTGGAGGACTGACACACGAAGAAAAGCAAGTAAAAAAAGCATGCACTAATTAAAGAAGAAGAAAAGCGCACACACAAGTACACAACAATGCTGAATCCACTGTGAGGGGAGGGCGGAAATAACAAACAGGAAGTTTAACGCCGTGCAACGTAAAAGTGTTCCCACGGGAAACGTAACTTAAAATAACAAATTAAACAAACTCATAGATCAAATTAATAATTGACATACATTTTTAACTACATTGAGTGTCAGTGAGGGTCTCCACCCATCCTGACCCTCACACAACCTCCTTGGTGTCGGGGGTGTGTTCTCAGAGCCTCCCTCTCCGTCTCAGGCAGAGGAGAGAGCCCGGCATGGACTTCCTGCTGCAGGAGATGCCAGCGGAGTTGCGCAAAAAGAACAAATTCCAGTTTGGGGAGCAGAGCGTGGAGAAATCGCTTTTCCATGTAGTCAGTTGTTTGCCAAGGCCTCACCCAGGTCATAAACTCTGTGGGTAAATGAGGCCGCAGTCAGGAGCAGCAGCATGTGATGCTTCTTTAGGACTTCATTAGTGCCAGGAAACTCCTGTTGGAAGCGTCTGAGATTAGCTTTCAGTTTCTGTTCAAATCCATCAATCAGGTTTATTTACAAGGTACACATACAAGGAATTTGCTGTGGTGTGTAATTGTGCAGAGAAAGATCAGTTAGAGGAATTAAGTTGTAAAAAAGGTATACATATTATAGAAATGATCTTGTTTATAAAATAAGGAAATGTTTTAAAAAATATATATATACAAAACCTGTACTTGAAATACATGCAGTGTATATAAAACGCAGCATTAAACAGAGAAGTACCAACATGTTTATTTTATAATCAATACCGTTCATTTTTTTTCTTTTTTCTGGGTCATAAAATAGTATAAATGGCCTTTTAATCATTTTGCATTCAACTCAATGACCTCCTAAACCTGAGCCACTGAGAGCCGTTTGTTATTTTGATTATACTGTAAAACAACTGAGAATAGTTTTGTATTTTACGAGTACAGTTTAATGTAAAAATCTTATATATCCATATTGGTGTCACAGCACGACGAAGGTGGCGGGGTCGTCACAACAGTTAGAGCACAACAGTGTGATAAAAGTAAAGTAATATAATGCAAATGAGAACACACACACACACACACACACACACACACCAGTGTTCTAACGGCCGTCCACACCAAGCTCAATAACTATAATGCTATATAAACTATCAAGTTAAATGTGATCATCCAGACTGATAATAAATAACGTTCTAATCAAAATGGATACTGCTTGATAGGGTTTGGGTACCGAGCCCCAGGGCTGAATTATTAAAGACCGTGGTACCGTTAAGCTCCGACGTTATCGGTCTTTTTATCGGTACTGGAGACATTTAAAACACATGTCATATGTATTATTGCTACACAAACATTATATTGCAGTTTTAGTTTCGCCAACTCCGTTTCTAATTCGCAAAAAGACTGAAAAATGCGTCTATGATTATTTTTAGTATTTTTGATCTTTCCAATCCAGACGAGAGATCTCTCCCCGCCTGCCTGCGAGGGGGCGGGGCAGTTTACACACACACAGCTACTACATGCAGCAACACACACACACGGAGGAGATGGCGGAGAGAACGCGCTCCGAGGTGGTTAAACTTTACCCGTCTCGATGCTCGTTGCCTAAAGTGCAATAAGAGTTTAGCATGTGAGGGCGGAAACACGAGCAATTTGTCTAAACATTTATCAAAAGTGCTCCACATCCAGACGGAGGAATGCACCGGGTTCCACTGTCTTTCTAGCAGCTCTGTAGCCCCATCCACGAGCAACGTTTCCACGTCAGGTGTTCTGTATGCTAGCAGCAACACACGGAGCTAACTACATGATACAAACATGGGTTAATGATTAGAGGTAACTGAGTTATTTAGTTTGTTAAAGTTTCAGCTATTCTGTTTACAGTCTGTCATCAGATTATTTATAAAACACTTGACACATAAGCACGAGTGCATCTTGCCTATGTGTAGGAGGTTCCCACACAACACATGTATATTTAGCACTATGTTTTCCTACTGCTTATATTTACACACAATTTCACAACTTCACACACTCCGATAGGGCTTACAGGTAAACACACTCGCGGGAAGAAGTGAACCCAGGCGCACAACACACACAAATACACACTCGACTTAGAGTCAATTCCCACACTATCAAGTCTAATGAACACACATACACACACACACACACACACACACACACACACACACACACACACACACACACAGCAGCAGCACATACACACTTGATGAGGTCACATGGTGTACACAGAGCCCGAGGCTGTGAGGTCTTATTGAGTTACAGTCATTCAGAGTGGACAAACTCTGAGGTCGAGGCGGTGCTTCTGAGTCTCCTCATGACATTTCCTCAGATGCTCCCTCGCGTCCTCACCACCTAGAGAGGCCTCGTTTATAAGTAACCACAGAGACATGGCTGTAAATGAACTTGTGCCACATTGAAATTGCGAGTCAGGCTGGCGTCTTTTCAACGTTGTCTTCTACACAGTATTTATACGGCTTGACGATATATATTTTTATATTCAAAGTTTCTATAATGTTTTTGAACATAACTTCTATGATATATTCTATGACTTAAAGGTAGGGTAGGTAAGAATGGAGAAACCAGCTCGAGTGCGCTAGAATTTGAAAGTATGCAGCCGAAAAGAATCTGCCCCTTCCTTCAGACTTCCTCAGAGCCCCTCCTCCAACACGCAGGAACTCGCACATGACCAATGAGGGCACGAGATGAGTTTGTGCACAGATGGAAGGCTGACAGGCAGGTAGGCCATCCAGTTACTTTAGCCGGCTCAGAGGATTGGTCGTGCTTTTCACAGCGCCACGGCTTCCACACATGAGATGTTTTAATGTATTTATTGTCAAAGCATTTAATGTATTCATTGCTATCGGGATGTTAAGAGCATTCCATGGAATATAACAACAAGTGTTTCTGAAGGGAATTACCTACCCCACCTTTAATCATCTTGAAAGCAAAAATCTTCACCCAAACGGACTGGACTTAAAAGTATAAATGACCTTTACACGCACTATACGAAGCCACCGTGCCACTATGCCTTGCTTTTTCTTTTTTTTAAAAACAGCTTTATATTCAATTTGGGACATATTTCATAACATGCTTGCACCTACAAAAATGACTGTCAACTAATAACATATGTGCAACTGGGTAATAAAGGTACATTAATTGCTACAGATCTTAGAGGGCCAGTGGCTCTTGAACAAGGAGATTGATGATAAAACAATAAAAGCAAGTTCCTGTCGCCCATCAGCCTTGCCTTGCCTTAAAAGATTAAACAACTTAGCATTGCACTTCTATAAAATTGTCAGAAACATGATATTTTTTGATAAAACCCTCCGTAACATTCCTGCGCCGTGGCTTCTTTCCAGTCGAGTCCTTGTCCTCAAATGGAAGCTCACCTGTTAGCTTCACCTTACAGGAAAATGCTGGCAAACAATCACTGCTGGCTGCTTACACTGTTCCAACATGGAGCCCATTCATCCTGATGAAAGGAGCTTTGACTCTGCAGATTTATTTCCCCTGCTCCAGGTTTGTTTACTTGTTGTGCATTCTCCTGCATGTTTATTGTTTTCTCTGCGCTTGTTGAATAGACTTTACATTGAGATGCTTTCACTCAGAAGCATTTCAAACTCTGGAAAAGCTTTACAAGAATTCTTCACCGTTTAAAAACTCACTATAATGAGGAGTATTAACATTCAGCACCACGGCTGTAGAGCGGCGCTGAGACGAGTCGAGCTGACCTTCATTTTCAATTAGTTTTTATTCTCAGACAAGACCAGGATTGTTAAGAGTGTGGTCTGAAGTGTTGCTGTGTCTGCAATGACGCAGCTTTAAAAGATGATCTGACTGACAAAATGAGGTCTGACTCGGGGGGGGGGGGGGGATCTCTGTAGAAACATTTTAAATAATGGGGCAGTCCTGATGCTGTTTGTAGTGACGCTTTAATTCCGGTTATCTAACTGACATGGGAGGAATCTCTGTCGGTCTTTCAATCTGCTTAAGAACCGATCAGCCTCACAATTTGTGGGTGTATTTCTGAGGAGCCTTTTTAGAGTGTG